CGCACATGAATAGCATTGCAGATCCGACTTTGCCGCCTGACCTGATCAATTTTCTGGGATTCGTGTGGCTGTGTGTGATTGTTGTCCTCCCAGCCATGCATGGTCGCGATTTACCCTCCTTTGGCATGCAAATAACATCTGTTTCTGGAGCCTAAGTGCGTTGTTGAGGTGAACCGCTTTCAAGCTAATATGAGTCATTTTTTGGAGCCAATTTGAGCTATTTTTGGAGCTGTTTTTGCTGTTCAATAGATCTGGTTCCAGCTTGTAGCAATTTTGACATCCTTGATAGTGACAGGAGTAAAGAGATTGTTGGTTCCAAGTTCGGGTTACCCTTCATCAACTATTATGATGTATGTGAGTTAGTTAAACATAAGAGTTCATGTCATGTGAGTAACCATAGAAGTCCTACTCCTTTTATGACCATTCATTCTGATGTTTAGGAATCTACTCAAAATACATCTTTATCTAGTCATAAATGATTTATTATTTTCATTGACTGCTGTAGTAGATTAACATAAATTTATCTGTTGAAAACTAAAAGTGATGTGTTCCTATACTTTCAGTCATTTTATAAAATGGTATGTACACAGTTTGATGCTCAAATTAAAATTTTAAAAGCAAACGATGATACAGAATATATGGATGATAGATTCTACACCTACTTAGAGTCTAATGGGATAATTCACTAGACACGTTGTGTCAACACCAATGAACATAATGAGGTTGCTAAAAGAAAAAATAAACACATAATGAAGGTTACTCGATCACTAATGTTCACCATGAATCTACCTAAAAATTATTGGAGAGATGCTGTTCTCTCAGCTGCTTATCTTATCAATAGAATGCATTTATGAGTTCTTAATTTTAGAAGTCCTCTAGAAGTTTTATAAGGTACAAATTCCTATATTGTTGCCCCCAAAGTGTTTGGATATGTTTGCTTTATTCATGCTAGAAATGTGGGTAAACTGGAACTTAGATCCCTCAAATGTATATTTGTTGGATATTCTGCTACTCAAAAGAGTTACAAGTGTTATCATCCGCCATCTAGAAAATAATTTGTGACTATGCATGTTATTTTTAGAGAATCTGAACCACACTTCAACTCTACCCAAACACTTCTTTAGGGAAAGAGTGAAATAGAAAAGGTGATGCCCAGTTTGGTCACTCTTGACAGTCATATTCAGGGGGAGAATTTTATGACAGAATATCATATTCAAGAAAAAAATGTGGATGACTGGATAAACCAAACTTGAAGAGGTATTCAAGGAGAGATAAGATAGAAAAAACCATCATGCAGTCTATCTCAGGTCAAAAATCTTTTTCAATTCGTAAAGATACTGGTGAGTCATCTTTGCCTTGTGAATTATTCAATAAACTCATTTCTCTTAGAAAAGGAGTCAGAACTTGTAATAAATATTTTATGTCTAAATTCATCTCTTATTACTCTCTATCTTCCTCCTACAAAGTTTTTGTCTTATCTGTTTCCTCCGTGTCTATTTCACAGGATTAGAAAGTAGCTCTAGGAGATCCAAATGGAAGGAATGATTGAAGAAATGAAAGTATTGGCAAAAAATGAAACATGAGAACTTGTTCAACCCTACAAGAAAAGAAGATGGTTGGTTGCAAATGGATGTTCACTGTAAAATATAAAAAAGTATATGGGTCGATTGAAAGATACAAAACTATACTAGTAGTTAAAGAGCATACTCAGACCTATGAAGTTGACTATCAAGGAACCTTCGCACCTGTCATAAAAATGACCATAATCAGAATATTACTATTATGTGTTGCTAATCTTGATTGGGATTTACACCAGTTTAATGTAAAAAATGTCTTCCTCCATGGGAACTTAAAGGAAGATGTATATATGAAAATTTCACCTGGATTCGGAGATGAAAGAATATACGAGAAGGTCTGCAAATTAAAGAAGGCATTGTATGGATTAAAACAGTCTCCAAGAGCATAGTTTGAAAGGTTCAGAAGAGTTATAATCTCTTTTAGATATCAGTAAAGCAATGTTGATCATACTTTGTTCATCAAACATTGTGAGGGTAGGATCACTCTTCTCATTGTTTATGTAAGATGATATTGTAGTGACTGAAAATGATACAAAAGATATGGTTCAACTAAAGGGACTTCTTGCTCGAGAATTTGAAATTAAAGATTTAAGAAAATTGCAGTACTTCTTGAGAATTGAGGTTACCAGATCTAATAAAGAAATTTTCATTTTTCAAAGAAAGTATATTTTAAACTTATTAGAAGAAATTGGAATGATGGATTGCAAGCCAGTAGAATCCCCTATTGAAAGTAATCACATACTACAAACTGGTAGTGGTACATCAGTTGACATAGGAAGATATCAGAGATTGGTTGGAAGATTCATTTATCTCTCACATACTAGACCAGATAAAATTTATGTAATTAGTCTGGTGAGTCAGTACATGCATGATTCTCGCGAAACTCATTTACATGCTGTCTTTCGAATATTACAATATCTGAAATCTGCACCAGAAAAAGGTTTACTCTTCTCTAAAAAGGGTCACCTTAAGATTGAAGCATTTATAGATGTCGATTGGACTGGATCTCCAGATGATAAAAGGTCAACTACTGGTTACTATACATTCGTTGGTGGCAACTTTGTTACATGGAAAAGCAAGAAGTAGAATGTGGTTGCCCATTTTAGTGCTAAAGCAGAATATAGAGTAATGACTCAATTGATATGTAAATTATTATAGTTCCAGAAGCTAATGAATGAATTAAAATTATTTAAAGAAGGAAGTCTATCATTGTTTTATGATAATGAAACAACCATTAATATTACCCAAAATCCAGTTCAAAATGAACAAACGAAATACATTGAGATTGACCGTCACTTCATAAAAGAAAAAGTGGTTTATGGATCCTTATGCTTATATAATATATCTTGTAGCAATTAAGTGACAGATATTTTCACTAAAGGAGTTTACAATAAAATTCTTCAGGACTTGATATACAAGTTGGACATGTATGATATTTTCACACTAACTTGAGGGGGAGTGTTGACATGAATATTTGGTTGCCTAAATAA